GAGTGCCTAGTTTGCCACGAATGGAAGTCGTTGGAGAGTTGTCAGAAGTGCGCTGCCAGCTTTTGTCGAATTCACAAAAACAGCCCTGACCACTGGGACATCTGCGCTCCCCTGCAACTATGTCTTGGCATAGATTTAATTAAGATAAGAGAGATTCCGGAGAACGAACTTCCGGATGTTGTCCTTAAAAATATTGTCTGCACGAGTGGATTTCAGAGCATGAGAGACTTTATAAAGGATAATTGGAATATTCAGACTGACTCGGAGGTGTTGTACACTGTCGAGGCAGACAAACTCTCGCTACATTCGACATATTCCTTAACGTTGTTTCATGCTATGCGATTATTAAACTATGTCCCAAAAAGCAACGATTTAGTCGTTCATGTTATAGGTGCAAATGTCATTGAAATAGCCTTGGTATGGACGTGGGAAGTTTTTCTGGTGTTAATGGAGACCCTGACATCAGTAGAGATATCAGTAAAGATTGTAATTATAGGGCCGGGCTTAAAAGATAAATTCGATCCGTCACGCACTGATGACTTTCTTGGGAATAACATTTTTTCTGAGTACCACGATGTGTCATACGAGAAATATGTGCGCAGTTCGTCATTCATAAAACCGAACGTGATTGTAGGATTTAGTGTGGGTATTGATGAGGAAGATGAGGATCTTGATAATAAGGAAATATCGGCGCCATCCATACATGCGATAGCGAAACAAAATTGTCCGTTCGTCTTAGGGTTTACTTTGCTACAATGTTTTCAGAATGGGATAAACAAAATTAACACGATTCTAGGTAAGGAGGTAGATTATCTCTATAGCGGAAAGAACCCATTCGCTTGTTGCAAACCGATTAGAGGCTTTGGGTGCGTGAATTATATTAATCAGTATGTAGTTATCTACCAAAGTCTTTGTTCGTAAATGATATGCGTAATTTAAGTTATCGATACAAACTGAAGGCTGTGTTTCGTGCCGAAAAAAAAGGTTGCGTGTGCGAAATGAAAGAAATAAACTGCAAAAGACTGAAATCCGACACTCCGGAATGTCTTATATTTATAATCTCTACTTATATTTATAATCCAAGAAGCCATTATTTACTTGTTGAATCGATTATCTTATATCAGTCGAGCATAAATGGATTGTAAATATAACAAGAGTGGATGCGGTAACGTGAAATATTATTACAGTGGCTTTTAGTTTTGTTTGTAATGAAGACAAACCTTTTTGATAATTTTTATAATAAAATTTATATCTTTGTAATAAATTATGTATCAAGCATTTATGATGGTAATTATTTCTGTTTCGATATTTTCTGATATCACATGTGTGAAAAGCCGGCAGCTTCTTGTGACCGTCTATGATCGCGATAATGGCAGAGATTGAATGTGTGGTCCTGGCTTCTTACCCTTCTTTACGTGAGTATCGTTTCGAGAAGCATGGATTTTTTAACGAGATTATTAATATTACTAATAACAGCTAACAGCATACACTCTTGTGCTGAGATTAACAAAATTTAAATTTTTTCTCTAAAGAATGCATTCTGACGACCTGCTACTGTCTAAAATTCTAATAATTTTCTTATTTTCCAAAAATTTTCTCAAAAATCGATGAAGTATTAGAAGAACATACTTGACCAGGCTTAGACAGCACACGTAAAAGACATCTTAAAGAGGTCTTCACGTAGTCTTAAACATGCGTGCTGGCTGGGATAAATTGCATTATTAAAAGTTTCAAGAATTTTTTAATATTTCCAAGAGCCGTGATTTTCTATAATTTTGAAATTCTGCAAGTATGAATTTATAAAAAATAGAATATAATTAGGAACGAGATGAAATATTTTAATTTAGAAATCGGCACTTTATTATTTCTTTCCTTCATTTATATTATGAGAATGAGTATTATTATATACATTATTCAGAATGCGATGGTACATTAAGATTAAAAGTAATACCAATTACAAACAATACAGTAATGAGAATTTAAGTGTTAATTATTACGATCAATCTCATTGCAATGATTACAGGTAATAGCACTGTACATAATTTCGTGATGCAATATAATTAACAATACTGAAAATTGCACTCAGAGTGTATTAGCCTGTCTCAACCTAACGACAGTAGTTATTTAACACATTTTTTTATATACTCATACTTCTATAATGGTATGTTTATTATATTGTACATTACATAATAATATAAAGTTATTGAGTCTTATGTTATAACAATATATTTTAATAATACAGAAAATACATATCAAAATTTATCAATTAATTGTAAGATATGTTGTTGCTCTGCTTCTTTCCATTCCGTATCACCGGCATCTCCTAAATTACCGGCGTATTCTGGTTTTGAAACAAAAAACATGTGAATGAATACATTGTTAATACGATTAAATATGTAGATAGGTTTTATACTATTCATAATTTACCTCTCATGATGTGGCGAATTGTTTTAAGGGATGCTCTTCTCTGCGCCAAGATTCTTGTCACTCGTTGCTTGACTGCAGGCGGACAACCAGTGCAAGCTTCTAAAAGTACATAATCTACTAACTGTAATATAAATAACCCGCCGTCTAATCTTCTCAAGTACGATTCTTCTTCGTCTTCATCGTCCTTATGATAAAAATAAAAAGAGAGCGTACATTTTTATATATCTTCATTTTTAGATGTCTCTGTTAAATGTTTTTCATTGTGCACGTACCTTCCCATTCTTTTCCACTTCTTCTACCTTTTCAAGATACTTGAAATGTAATTCCATTAATCTGTCCACTTTCTCATAATCATTCTCCGTAAACTTACTAAGTAATCTTTGACGCTGTTGTCCTTTACAGTTCTTTAACATGCTTGCTATGATTGAAATCACGTGTTCTACAAAATTAATTATTTATTATTTCGCTATAAACAGTTAAATAAGTTGGAATTTTGCTTACTAATATTAATAGATATATCGAGGCCATACCTTCATGCTCTTCTGCAGTAAGCATTCTTTTTCTATTTTTTGTTGGAGTTTTCATAAACAGAGGAAATATAGTTCGCAATCCAAGAATATCTACAAATTTGCTGCAGTTATCTTTTCCGTCCGGGCCATTCATAGCGTGATCTAAAACCTATAATTTTACTGTAGTAATTTATACAAATCCAACAAAGTCTGTTGCGAATAAACCCACTTTGAGAGATCCATTCCGTGACATCTTTTTTTCTCGTAACATTAAGTTCATAAGTTGGAGACCTTCGCCACGCAGAAATCTATCTCGATTTACAGTAGCCATTAAGCTTGAGCACAAAACGTTAAACAAATTTTCCATCATCTCTTGTTCCTCTGCAGTCTGCGGATCGTGTCTCTTATAATACTGTAAATAATCGGTTTTAAGATAATTCAAGAGCTTGGTAATGTTATATATATATGCAAGGGCTTAGAAACATACAAATACATACAGCTAATTGTTGTAGTAAAACATCAATTCCATCCAAGTCACCTAAAAGGAGTCTATTTTCTGGCGTATGCTGCAAAAGTATAGACAGGAGTTCACTGGCGTAAAGTTTGTTCGCGTCAAAAGGCGTTTTAGTTTTAACTCGACGTAACAACCATTGCATCAGACCCTGCTTTCCCGCATCCGCGCATAGGTCTGGTCTAAATTCCAGTAGATTCTCAAAAATGGCTGGAAATCAAAACCGTCGTTGAGTTAATCTAGTAGAAACATTATTTTGCAGAAAGATAAACGATATACACGTTTATTAAGTAATTACCAAGTGTGTTAAAAACACCGTCGCTCTCCTCTTTCACTGTTTCATCAAGCCTCTCGAGATTTTGTACTAGGAGAGCGCAAACTTGTTGCTCCAACAAAGCATCGATAAGTGTATCCGCGCCTTCTTGACTTTCGTGTAATATATCTACGTCAGTCAATTCCTGCAGAAGATCTACCACGCCAACTGCTACATCAGTATTTTCATGAGACAACAATTCTAGCAATGAAGGTACGGCGCCTAACTCTACCATTAACTGATACAAATCTGGATTGGTTGCCACAATATGAAGCTCTTGCAGAGTTTCGTGCAGTTCTACTTCGGATTCCATGAACCTGCAAAAGGCCAAAAAGAAACCGAAAACAATTATACATTGAGATTTTGTCAATCCGACATTTAGCTTCTACGTATTCACATACTTCTCCGGTTGATCTGGGAATTTGACTCTCATCTCCTGATTCCTCAGAGCTCTCTTCTCGAATAGAAGAATCATACGTTTGAGCGTCGCTTCATCCAACGCTTCGACTTCAGGCGCCTCGGTTTCCACATACTTCAATATATCTTGCTTTTCCTTCTCCGTTAGTTGCGGTTCGACCACGTCGTTAGCTGGCGAGGGCAAAGCAGCTCTGACAGGTGTAGCAGGTTCATCGTTCCTGGACGGTACGACATCGAGCTCCTTAGGCTGTCGTTGACGTGCATGATACGGGGTCTTTATCACCTTCTTTGGCTTCTTCACGCTCTCCCATTCATCGTCGTCGTCTTCCTCTCCCGCTGTCGGTCGTTTCGGTGTGTTTGGGGGCTGTACACATTACCATCGTTTAATTATCATTATCGCCGTTATTTGTAACGAACGGAAGAGCAAATCGTGAAATTTTCAATTTCACGATGAAAATTCCCGATAAATCAAAAGTCATGACACATAAGTGAGAGGTTAAATGAAACAAAATATATATTACTATTTCGAGATAAATATAAATTATACAAGCCGCTGCAGAATAATTCCAATACGCACCTTATAAGATAAAAGTTCTCCGATATCCATTTGCCAAAAATAGATCACGCACTTTTAAAAATTATGTTTAAAAGATGTAAAAAATTTGAATCAAGTAAAATAACACAGCTTTACGCCTACGCCACATGTGCACGTATATCTGGATTTTTTGCACTCATACACGCCTGTACTGCTAGAAGTGCGCCATATTGACACTCAACCGGTAACAAAGCTCTCTCGATAATTGCTCGATAATCAAATTCTTTTCAAGTTCTACTTTCTATCGTTATTCCTTACTTCATGGGCCAGTTCATGGAAAACCTAACAAACTAACCTAACCAATAAATCTAACCTAAATCTAACCTATATCGCCCAAAGAGGTTGTGATTAATTTATATGAAAATAATTTTCATATAAAAATCAATTATTGCACAGTTTCACGAATTGTAGTTATATAAATAATTTATAATTATTGTAAATATATATTTATTTCTACATAAAGCGCAAGTATTTAACATGATTAGGCTGTTTCGATTAGCGCGAACTTTTTCTCGTTTATCGCAAATAAGATGCTCGTCGCGCAGCTTAGAAAAGAAAACGGATCTGTATCGTCAATTATATGCAAAAATATTGGCGTGCGGTCCCATAACGCTCGCCGAATACATGAAGGAGATCTTGATCCATCCTACTGCGGGTTATTACACAACTAGAGACGTTTTCGGGCAAAGAGGCGATTTCACAACTTCTCCAGAAATCAGTCAACTTTTTGGAGAAGTATGTAACTCTCTCATTCTCGAGTTGAATGCGATCCATTATCTGATATATTAATTACGTCGACGACTTCATAAAAGATTATAAAATTGGCGTTACGTTGATGTTCTTGCTAAGAATTTGAAATCTATCTCTTCCTCTTATCATTTACGATTATTTGTCTGGAGCTTGTCAGGAAATTAATTGCCCGGAAATAGCTTGTATATTAATCATCGTTAATAGATTGTAGCAATTTGGATAATCAGCGAATGGAGAAAAATTAGCAGGGATTCTATTCAACTCGTGGAACTAGGTCCAGGAAGAGGTACCTTGATCAGTGATATCATACGGGTATACTTTTAATATGCTGTTGTTCGCAAATCAAACATACAAGCGTGAAAATGATAAAACGTCGCTTATTTCAGGTGTTCAAGAAACTAAATCTCTCAAATAAAATATCGATTCATCTGGTAGAAATTAGCCCTGTTTTGGCTGCGATTCAAGCAGAGAAATTGTGCACAGAAAGCAGAGATATTGAGCCAAGAGTCAATGAAGACCAAAAGAATTCTGTCACTCATTATAAAGAGGGTGTTACGAGAGAAGGAGTAAATATATATTGGTATTATTCTATCAACGACGTTCCTGGAAAGTTCAGTGTATTTGTAGCGCAGGAATTTTTTGATGCTCTCCCAATACACAAGTTCCAGGTACAGAAATGTCGAAACTTCGATATTGATGTATAAAAGATACAAAAAGGATAATTTAAAAATTATGTTAAAACAAGAGTAACGTTTGATTATAGAAAACTGACAAAGGTTGGAGGGAAGTCTTAATAGATATAGTGCAGGAATCGCAGGAAGAGAGATTTCGATATGTACTTTCGCAGGTGCCAACGGCTGCTTGTAAAGTGTACCTATCTGTAAGCATTTATTTGCAATGCTATGTAGCGTTCAAGTTTTAGATAGTGGATTAAGGTGATCCTAAGCTGTCTGTAATACCTACACTCGTTTTTAACAATATTTGCTTTGTATAAAAATTCTACAACTTGATGTTACAAAATGAGGGTGCAGGTCCATTCAGTAGACATCAAGGAATATCATACCGTTTGTAGAATTAGGCTGACTCCAAACAAAAAAGTTCATTATCGTACTTTTCGTTTAACTTTTTTGTTTAGAGTCTCAGCCTAATTCTACAAACGGTATGATATTCCTTGATGTCTACTGAATGGACCTGCATCCTCATTTTGTAACATCAATTATGTAGAATTTTTATACGAAGCAAATATTGTTAAAAACGAGTGTAGGTATTACAGACAGCTTTAGCATCCCCTTAATGAAAGCGATTTCTTTCAGCCGCATGAGAAAAGGGATCATGTGGAAATGAGTCCACAGTGTTCCGTAATAGTAGACCACATGTCCCAATTTTTATGGGAACACGGAGGATTTGCGCTGGTGATTGATTATGGCCACGAGAGGGAAAAGACTGATACATTTCGCGCATTCCGCCAACATAAGTTACATGATCCCTTGTTAAACCCAGGAACCGCGGATCTGACTGCGGATGTTGACTTTTTACTAATGAAAGAGATTGCACAAAAAGATGATAGATTAATCGTGTTTGGTCCGGTGACGCAGAGAAAATTCTTGAAAAGCCTCGGCATTGATTTACGGTTAAAAATGATTTTACAGAACGCAACTAGCGTTGAAAAAGAACAAATTGAATCGGGATATCGTATGATAACCGATGACGATAAAATGGGCAATTGTTTCAAAGTATTGTCTCTCTTCCCCTTCGTCCTGAAAGATCATTTGAAAAAATGGCCTGTGGCAGGATTCGAAGATGAAAGCGAAATCAAATCTTAAATTTTTTATTTTCAAGTAATATGAGAGAAACAGAGAGAATTGTTTTTATATATTTTTAGACATTAACTATATAATGACACATACAGTAAACATGTAGTGTTAATTATACACTGTACAGAAAATTAAGATAAATTTATTAAAAGAAAAAAAAAACGTTTAAATTTATATAACTTCCGAGCAAAACGATACTAATATATATTAATATAACTGACTGGGAGTGCGGCCTTCACGAATGTCGGAAAGATGTGAAGGGGCACGAACGGTCCATACACGTGAGCTTGCTGGCACGTGGACGTCTTACTATTAGTGAAAGGAACGTCACGTGCGAGTCATTAATAACTAAATAAATAAATAAACGGTCACCAGTTCGATGGTAATGTTCAAAAAATTATCATTGCATTTAAGAAACTTCATCGATTCGACGTGTCTATCCTGGATTAAAAGAAATTATTGCTTTAACCGTTTGATATAATATTTTGCAGGTGATTAGCTATTATGTAAGATTTTACGATTATCGCGTGATTAACATTAGATTCCATATTATAGTCAAGAAATATGCAAACATTGCAAACCAAATGAAAACTTTATTGTAGTCTTTATTTCAATATTTTCTCCATCGAAGTAATTATTTGAAAGAATCCAGAGGAAGAACGTGATAAACTTATCTTGGATCACGTTTTCCCCGTTTATCACGTTTATCACGTTTTCCCCGTTGTAGCCTCATGTGAAAGATCTTTTCTTTTTATGTGATACACGTGAGCAGTGCGCGAATAATATCTGCAATCTCGAAGTCCTTGACCCTTTTCTTCGCGACTTTACTTTTACTTAACGTTCCTCGCGTGTATGCCCTAGTCCCCACTTCCGTAAACTCCTTTCGCTTTTTCCTAGCACCTATCTCGGTGAGTCGAGCTAGACCAGGGACCGTGATTCGCCGCAGAACGAAAGAGCATATCTTCGGTTTATTATCGAGACCATCGCGCGAATACTTTTGCAGCAGTGTCCAGAGCTTCTCTCATCACGGTAGAATGTTCGAATACCGCGTAAGATTGAACGTGTTAATTAACGTATTCTCTTAAACGGAATCAGTGTATTACCATTGAAATCCAGAAAAATACGCGCAACAGTTATAAGTTTACGCCGCATTCAGCAGTTAATAATAGAGCAATTCAATTAGAGTGATATTAAATGCCGGGAACAGTGAAAAAGCTTAAAAGTTAAAAAAAAGTAAAATATATGAGCTTCTCAGAAACTAAATTGCTCAATTCTGTAAAATAAGATGAGAAAATTGAGTGAAATACTCACTGAATTTTCGCATTGTACTGTTTTAGTCGGCAAAATTTTCACCGAGTCAGTTTGAAAGAGTGATGCGAAACTAAACATTTCAACTGTCGCAAATGTTTGCGGTGACAAGCACGGCGAAGCTCGAGATCGATGAGCATTTTAAATCCGCAGTAACGATCTCCAAGACTAAGAATGTCAAACGCAGGAAGAATCATCGTTGGAATAACGACGATCCCAGAACGTTGCATCTTATGCGAGTTAAAGGATTTCCGCGACTATTGCCCGAAGGTAATTCGAAGACCGCATATGGTGTCACCGATAGCAACGAATAAAAAGTTAAGTTTGCGATTTCGTAAATTGCACGTACATACGCTACAAACTCGTTATTTTAGGCATTCTCGCTTTGGCCGATTATTGTCGATGGCTTCGCGAATTATCTTTATCGTATGCTTTGCTGAGCGACGAGCTGCTCTCAGCTTTGTGCTCGGTAAAGCAAATTCACTTGGAAACTCTACGAGTGGAGGCACATCCGGAAGCGAAGCCTCTTCCATGTGTCAGCGACAAAGCGTGGTCCGCGTTTTCAAATCGTTTGCCCGACATAAATCTCGCGCTGTAAGTAAAAATAAACCAATAATCTTTGGTCGCGTGTGATTATTACAATACCCACGCGATGTGAATGGAAGTCAAAGTAAGCTACAGCTAATCTTCTATTTTTCGTTAGACTATCTTACATGACCGACGACGATGATAAAAAATTACTCTTCACGTCGCACATCCCCGTAACGCATTTGTACCTTGGTGACGAAACATCAGAGTCGACAATGTCACGGATAAGCAAGCAATATCCACAATTGATTGAATTAGTTATCGCCGCTTATGGATGTGGTCCGATTGATCGATTCCTGATTTCCGTGGCCAAGAACTGCCCGCGGCTTAGCGCCGTCGGTTTGGGCGATTGCGAAATTACGTATGTGAATATAAAGATGCAACATATATATACATCGCTGCCCTAATTCAATATTGAGAAAACTCAAAAATATTGCAAATTTAAGTTTCAATGCTTTCATGAAGATACGCAATTTGAAAACTAAAGAAATTATCGTCTTTACTTTGTTTAACACTAATGTTTAATTTCGCATCATCAATTTGGGTAATTTGCAAAAATATCTCGTTATTGATACATATTTCAGTACTGTAGTGCGGCAGGCGGCAGTGATATATGTCAAAGACATCAATCACCCTTCCAACAGAATATTAATAAGAAATAATAACAATTTTTTCACTCTTATAGTTGTTCTGGGTTAGCGAAATTCGTTGCGTTGTGCGCACATCGTCTGCAGGTACTGTATGTTTCGGAAACATCGCTGATAGAAGATGCGGACCTCGATATCGCTAAAGTGTCGACGAACTTATCTTCGCTCCTTGGTCGAACGTGGATACCAGAGTACGTACCATTGTGGTAATCTCCTGAGAAGTGAAAAAGAGGTTTCAACGTAATTTACAGCCGTAACAGGATACATGACGAAATAAAATATTCACGACGTAGTTTTCTATTTTTCACAAATTACATAATAACTTACAGAGATTTTGCAATGTCGAACAAAAAATTCAACGTATTCACTTTCATGTTTATAATGCTTGTAACATTTGCAGTAAAACTGCTGGATAGTACTAAAAATCTGAAATAATCTCGATATATTCTACGTGCAATATCGTTTCGTCTGTTGAATTAGCAGTACCGCAGAAATTAATTGATCGTTGCTGTTGATACCAAAAAATAGAAACTTTATTAGTTTATAATAGTATTTTTTTTAGATGTTTTATATATATATATAAAATAATGTAACGTTACTAGCACTTGTCTACCGTCGTCGCGTATGGTAGACCCGTATAATATTCATTATCCATACGTAATATTATTATGATATATAACAGTCTCTGTATATACATTATTTCTACATTATTATATAATAAATGATTGGGCATTTAACATTACGATGTCCAGCAACATTAACAGCAATATCACTTTTCTAATTTATCCAGCCGCTCCTTTCTTCATTTTTTAACGCGTCCTGACAATGCTACTCTAGAGAGATGCGAGGTGCTCAGTCTTGTATCCCAGCCGACATATATATCCGTGTAATTCGATCTCTTTGTTTAATAAGGCCTAGAATAAAGAGAAGTAATTAATATAAGCAAATACAGCTATTTTAAATTATCCGTATTTAGTTCCATTTAATATTTAAAGGTATACCTGATCATTTTATAGTAGATATTTGGCCTCTGTATACGTCAGTTGCATTAAAAATAACAATTTAAAAATATCCGAGCTAACCCTGCAAGATACCAGAATGAAAAACTTTAGACATCGTCAATCTGCATTACACGTGTCGTTGCATGTAAAGACTGAAGGACAGACTTTTGCATAACGCATAAAATGCATAAGAAAATTGATTGATCCATATATATATGCATAAGGAAATAGACCAATCCATTTTTTTATCCTTATACATTATGCGTTATGCAAGTCTGCTCTTCGGCCTTAAGGGGATCCTATAGCGAAGGCCGAACTTCCTCGACGTCGGTAATGTCAACATTTCTAATCCTGTTTTCTATGTTATATATCTATGTCTGTCCTTGTCTAACCAGAGGCATCTGTCTTTGTTCGATTGCTGCGCCATCTCTCGCTACACGCAATACTGCTTATCCTGTCAACCTAAATGTGCTTTTGCTTAATAAAACTTCATTTTACGGAATCTTTTTTTCTAGACGTTGAATCTTAGTTTTATTTACACGATATTGTTCCTACATGTTGTCCCTACGTCGCCTTGGTGTCATTATATATATATAAACTGCAGTAATTTTGTTATTGTCGTCAGATGACAGTTGTATGTGCCCAAATTAGTAAAATTTTTAATTTTTTTTTGTTCTCGATATGAAATCGTACAACGCGATGTAGATTTTTGTGCGTACTTTAATTCTAGACCAAAAACTTGCAATTCTGTAAAGCCAATTCAAAAATTCCTTAAAATGAAAAAATGTCGGTAACTACCGCCACTATAGGATCCCCTTAACACATTATCTAAACACATCTTTGTGACGAATACCTGTTTTGAGCCAATCAGTCAGGCATGTCTATAGAGATTATAGGCACAACAGGTTTCATTAGGTCGATTTTCTTAATAAGCTTCTCGCTCTTTTCCGTAATCATTGGCTCGGATGGTGGTTGATCTCGCTCGTCCCTTGGTTGATACGATATATTACCATATTCTTGAAGCAATGGACATAAACTTAGCAGGAAGTGACAAAAGTCTTTTCTGATACCAAACCACCCTAGACAAAAATTCCATCGTTCTTACACGCTAAATAAAATTAATAACGAAATAATCTTATACATATGTTATATCAAGAGAAAAAAAATGATATATCATTATCCTATTACTAAATAATAAAAACAAAATTATTTCTCACATCTATTTCCACCTTTTGCGCCAAAGGACATAAAAATAAGTGTCATGTGCGACAGGAGGAGTGGCATTGCCACTGTTATATAATTTATTGAAATATCTCCGTCTAATTTATTCGCTAGCAATACCTGAAACAGAATAATTTATGTTAAATAATACTAGGAAAGGAAAAATTAAGTCGATTATGACTCATTTAACGAAGCATACAATGCGCTAGTTATACCTGGAACACTAAAATGGGAACAACTAGAAATGTATACGCCACCGCCGAGTGCAAGGAGGTCCGCCTCTGGCGGGCATTGATCTGCGGCGTTCTCAGTAAAACAGCGGCGAATACTATCGCGTACAAAACAGCCACTAAAGATAAACAAAGAAGTGCCCAAAGCGGCACGAACACAACTTCCCAGCTCCACGTTATGAAGCCGTCCAATCTCAAAGCCAAAAAGATAAACTGTAATACATTCACTGCGCAAAACAGTTCCAGTTCGAACGACCGATCGTGTTTTACAGCCCAGATGCAAACCTGAATCATAACAGAGATCAAAAGGTGATAGTACACATTGATAAAAATGCTGGCAGCTGCAATTGCTGCAGCAATTTGAAAAAAGTAATTTATACTTACTGCAATTGATACTATTGAGATGAAAATCAAGGGTATAAACACCAGTATCCACAAGTGTCTCTCAGATTCTAATTTGTCGCATACCAACAACTCAAACATCAACAAGATTAGGTGCAATGCCAGGGTAATCAGCATCGCTTTATAATGTACATAGGCATCCCCTTCTAATCTCGCGTGGGGATGCCTCCACCAGACGTAGCTCCCGACCATCGCTCCCAGGATCACCATGCCTTTCCAGAACCATATCGGGCTGAATATCGACCAATAACTCCATTCGATGAAGCCGTCCAATCGAAGAGCGAACAGAGACGTGAATATCATCAGGCATGTGTGCACCAGAAATTTGCTGGAATATATAATTAATTAGCTCTGTATTTCTGTCCACACTTATGAATAATGTGCCAATCGCGACGAAGGTGACAAGTCGCCGAGTCAAGTATCGTGACGAATGACTTGGAATGAGAGTTACCTTGGATTGAAGTCTTGAAAAAGCGTTTGCAAATTCATAATTGTTGTAGGGGTTATGTAGGCCAATTAAACGAGGAGAACCTTCAGGTGACTTGTCGAGTGGAGATGCATGCTACGTCGAGCGCGCCGATCTCATTTGCCACGGATACCGTCACGGAAAAGCGCAATTAAGCGATGCCTCGGACATCTGCACGTTCAAGAAATAAATAAATCTCTACTCGATATAACCAAAATTTCGAGCATACTGAAGTCAGGTAATAATCATCGGCCGTTCCGACTTCCCCCACCACTTCTCTCTCTCTCGCCCTTCCTTCCATTCTCTCGTTCTCTCTTTCTCTCTCACTCTCTCTCTCTCTCTCTCTCTCTCTCTCTCTCTCTCTCTCACTCGTTCATAGTTCGTTATTTATATCCTATAAGGATAATTTCGATTAACTTACAATTAATTGGTAATTAATCAAATAATAATAGCTGTACTGTCCTGTTAATAAGGATAAAATTAAAAAGATTAGATGAAAAATAACGAATTATATAATTAGATATTTTACCTAAAGCAAATTTTCGTCCATAACAATATGTAGATTAACTTTAATTTCGGTTAAAATGATTTTTGCTTCCTCATAGAGGAAGCTTTGTTTTCGTAAAAAATTTTTTTTTTGTTTTTCTGAATGTGTTCAGAATGTTCTAAAACGTCGAAAAAATGCAATTTTAAAAAATGTCTGTATGTATGTATGTGTGTGTATATGTGCCAAATTTGCCGAAATTTCTATAACTCCAGAACTAATCAACCAAATCTTAACGAATAATATATGAAATAGGGGTAGAAAAAACTGAAGAATATAATAGAATTAATAAAAATTGCTAATAATCAAGAGGTTCTTTTTTAATATTTTGAATTTTTGCAGAAATGTTTGTTTATGCTTTAACTTTCGCAAATTTGGAGATATCGGTCGATTTCTAATTTTATTATAAACTATAAAAAAGTCCATAATTTTGATCGCATATAAAGCTAAGTATAATTAACCGAATTTAAAAGAATTATATTTTTTAATCGATAGAGTATCATGTAAGGAAGGTTGGGATTGAATTTGGCAATGATCGGTAAAGCGGTTCTTTTTTAATAAAATTTCGAGTTTTTATAGAAATGTTCGTTTATGCTTTAACTTCCGCAAATTTGGAGATATCGATCTATTTCTAATTTTATTATATTTTTCAATCTTTTCTACCCCTATTTCATATATAATTTTTTAAGATTTAGTTGATTAGACCCAGCTTTATACGCGATCAAAGGTCCATAATTTTGATCGCATATAAAGCTAACAATAAGTCTAATTAACCGAATTTAAAAGAGTTAAATATGAAATAGGGGTAGAAAAGACTGAAAAATATAATAAAATTAGAAATAGATCGATATCTTCAAAAATTTGCGGAAGTTATTAAAGCTTCCTCTATGAGGAAGCCATGTGCAAATTTCTAATTTGCACAATTTGTATGTATGTTAATCAGGTTTTCGCAAAGTTAATCAAAATTTTTGATTAGATAGATATATTTATTAAAGTAAGAAAAAAATTAAAAACCAAGTATTTTTTTTTAAATTTAATTGAGAACAGTTAGGAATGCAAGAAGATATGTTCCATCTTACCGCATAATTTTTTATCTTTTTGTAGTTCTAAAAGAATTAAAAGAAGGTAAAAATAAGTTAAACCGAAATTAAAAAGTTAATTTATGTGCATTAACAACTGGACATTTGTCAGTTGATCTACATAATAACACGGCCGATTAAGTTAATTATTAACTTTTTTATTAGCAAAAACAAATTCGTTAATTTTTTTGACGCGAAGAAAGATTAGATTAGGGATGACGAATTATTTATTAGATAAAAATCTTGTTGCAAGCGATTATATCATTTGAGTTAATCGCTGATGAGTAACTTATTAATCAGAGTTTAAGTCCAAGTCGTTCTGAGGAGTGCTCTCGTTCACTTGACAAAAAGAATTGAGTTGATTAGTCGTTATCGTTAATAATAAAAATCAAGAGTCCAGAATCTCATATAAAATTGATGCTTAACGGAAAGACATGTTTAAACGTAATTAATCTTGAAATTTTACGGTTGCAGATTAACGCTGTAGAAGACAAGGAAGATAATACTGATATGTACAAAGGATATTTTGTTATCACGACGAAAAATTTCCGATCGCACTGACGATATCGTAGATAATCTATTGAAGTTTGAAACTACAATTTATTATGTACCATTGCAGAAAACAAAGTGAGAGATAAGCAAAGGTATAAAAAGAGCATATATAGGACAAGTATTATGATCGTCTTTGTCCGAGATAAAATAATATGGCGTAAACAAATTTACGAAACAAGTATAGAGATCTTGATGTACTTATGATTACTCGCGCTACTCGCGATGTACACACATCCTTACTTTTTATAGAAATGTTAAGTGTTACAGTTTATATATTAATTATACAATTCTAGGGTGCAGTGCTTACTGGCGAAGTGCAACATCAGGCGAATAACGACGCATCGGCGAGGCCTGGTTGGAAAAATTCTGTATTTTACGTAAAAAAATATTCTCGTCGATTATTTATGTCGCGCGACAATTGAATTTATTGTTTGTGTTTACGCCATTAAACCGTGTTTGTGCTCGAATCGGTGACGACGTCTGGTTAGAAGACCGTGTAATCTTACTGTCGCCAAATGCCAAACAAAAGCGGTCGAGCAAATAAATAAACTCAATGAGAGATTATTCCACGCGATAAGGCGATTGTTGTGGACACGCATTTTTGTGGATATGCGTCGTCGCATGTCCGGAGTCCGCAGATCAATTTCGATCGCGATCGCCGTTATTTCGCAATTGCTCGCCGCGCATTCTTCCACGAATTAATTTACGATTCGAGTTTGAGTGACGCCGATAAACTTCCGAGTTCTTTATTGATTCATTCGGATATAAATTAACAACGTACGTTACGAGGTGTCTCGTTCTCGCAGAACGTAATAATATAACGTAATTCGAACTTGGATCTAAATTTCTTCTACCTTGACGTAATTACGATTTGAGATTAGCCCAGTCGAAGTTGCAATTAATAACAAAACGTTGGAACATATACAATATCATTTCTTCGATGAAAATAACCGTGAAATATTGCAATTATAAAAAGCAGTATCTTGATATTTTAACATCCGAGTTTTAATTGTTATCAATAATTCTTTGCATATGTCACAACAGGAACTGCGACGGATGATTACTCGTCTTTATTTATCATCTGGTAAAAATCGTGGAAATGAACAAATAGATCGGATATCGGATCGTGATAAGGCGTCGCAACGGGAAGATATACGGTAATATTACTTGGAAATTTTTTCCGATAGCATTTTATTTCACATTGTCACGTACAATATAATTAATAACAATAAACGTATGTATATACAATGAATACTTCGCAATTATTATTTACGCAGTCATATCTTTTGTTCAGACTAGCCATGAGATTTCTGTCACTCGAAGTGAGCGTCCTGTGGATAAAATAAGTAATTATATTATTTCATTGCGATTGCTCAAAATTTAACGTGCATTCTGATTGTAAACGTACACAGGCAAAACTTACATATTTCATATATGATAGAAAAATATCGTAGACCATCGTCATAACATTCGTATAAAGTACTCGATAATGCAGGGGCACAAAAATAAAATTAATGCATTGCGCTGGAGGCCAGAAACAGCAGTCGACCTGACAAAATAATTTTAATAAATTGCATACATTTATACATATTTTAAGAAGAAAACTTTCGATAGCAGTTTCTCTGAATTTTAATTGTTATACAAATTCGCTCTCTACGATTATTGAAATATCGATTACAGGAATGTAATCCCGTGTACGTACTTTCCACGTGTCGCCGAATTTCAGCTTTAGTTCCTCGCAGATCTCCTTAATTTTGCGACTCTCCAGAATCCCGAGGCCGACAAAAAATATCCCCAGGCACGTGGGACTCGCGATCGATTGATCGAGAAATGTTTTTTTCAGGACCGACTTTGCGTTTCTGCCTGGCAAAACCTTATCAAGAATCGTGTAGAAACAGTGATGAAACGGACCTTGAACCAGTCCTACAACCGTCATATTCCTGGTCCTCATGTAATCGTGTCCGTATGCAGATGTGCTGGAAATCGCCGTCACCTTTTCATCTTCCGGTGACGCCGCTATGACACTGCTCGGAAAGTATTTTTTGTCAGAACAATGCTTCTTCCAATGTTCGCTGCGTTGCTGGATCACATCTCCCGCTGCCATCATCAACCCACAGCTCACAGTGTTGGTGACTAATAGATATTTACCTGCACAGCCCAAAATATAAATTTCAGACAATCAAGCGGCTATTATTTTATTATTATTTTAATGTGGAACTAAAAATAAAAGACTTACCAAACAGTAGCTGACGCAGAATGCCCATTTGTATAGAATTATATTATAAATTTTGTGATAAAATTCGTTTTAACGTTTGATATTACAATATAGATTTGTCGAAAAACAGAAATTATCCGTAATTGCAAATATTCCTCAAGAATTATACGTGTGTACTAGAAACGTTAATTAATATCCGTTTTCTCGACCAAATTTCGTTTGAGTCGCCTGTTTGAATTCGTTATTAAATGCGTTTTCTAAGAGTTTCCTTTCTTTACTGTTATTTAATCAAGCCAATCTTCTTGATTCTTCGGTGCTTATGGAAACGAAATATTCGCTGAATATTGGTGCGTGGCATAACTCTCAAATTGGTAGGTTGAAGATCGATAGTCTTCGGGTGGAGTATCGGCGGATGCCTAGATGCACAATGGAGCTGCACTGATCGCCCGAGTTATCATCTTGCATCGAACGTACTGTTTGGCGAGGTCGGGGGACCGCTAAATATATGGAAAGCCGTCGCCGGCAATTAAAAATTCCGCGGAGATTGCGCAAACGATAGACAACGCGCCTTATCTTTTCGGTCGCACGTTTCTTCAAATTTTCTTGTCAGATATGATATAACACATAAAGATACGTATACACACAGGTTTATCAGAAGTTCATCTCACGTGTTTGTAAACGCTATTCAATATATCAATAGAAGAAAGAAATGGAAGGGGAACTAAGATAACAAACAAGAGTATGCTTAATTTTAAGCTATCTTACTTAACTTTATCATCATTCATATGAATGGAATTCTACAGAGAAATTACAATGCTTCGGTGTAATAAGTGCTCGTAAAACTTCATATAGTTTCATATTATAAAATTCTTTGTCTACAAATACTTTTAAAGAAGAAAATAGTTCGATAAATGCAATGATCGTTAGAATTACTTAATTACAAGGAATTATTATTGAGATGCTATAATGTTGTGATCGGATTTTTTAGATTTTTTATTGGTAGTCAAAATTGTACAACTTAATTAGACAATAAGACAGGATGTCGATAATTACTTAGCCGCAGCAGCTTTGGGTTTCGGCAAGCCTTCCCTGAATCCATTTCTATAAATATATACAAAATAATCGTTTATATGTGTTGTATACATCATGAATTGTGGGAAAAATTAGATAATGTGTTTATATATCTTTCATCATTTAATAAAAAAAAAAGTGTAAAAAGACAGAAGGCATAAAATAATTGTAAATAATGGTTAAAAAATGTATAGATCAATTGCTTTAACGTTCGTTAGTTATTACATTTTTGACATAACCATTTTGTAGCTTACTTGAATTTACGGCGCACGATTTTAAGATGACGCATGCGGCCAGTACCAGTGGTCTTCCTCCTCTTCGCCTTGACCGACCAATTATCTGTGAAGTCGACAAATACAAATCTAATTAATATTCCTGAACCAACATTAAATATTCGATATTTGTATAAACATAACAGGCGGTCTTCTGTGCAAACTTGTCGCGTTGGTTGCACGACAGCGACTTACAGGAACGCATTTTCTTAGCCGGATAGCCGCACTGCGCACACTGCGACTTCTGGATGTGGTAAGAGCTACGTCCACATCTCCTGCACAACGTGTGCGTCTTATTACGCCGCTTACCAAAGCTGGATGTACCCTTCGTCTGTGAACATCAAGCAGGAGCATAGTGAACTTAACCGTAGTCCGACTCAATATTACAAATTGAAGAAAGAAAAAAAAGAATTAACGATGGAGAGCGATATAAAGGGCTATTTTTAATCCTTTCTATGAACAAATAAATGAGAAATAAATATACTTCAGGGAATAAATGATTGCAACGTGTCACACATAAACATTGTTATAACCTGTACACCGGTATTATGTCAGTAGCGTACGGAATGGCATTCTTTTCACCCGATATTATTCAATTACGACAGTTCTACGAAAATTCAGGACATCTTTTCCGCGCCGATAAATCGGCCGATCGTTAGGATCGCTATGAAATAAATCGATTTGAATAACGTAAAACCACGCTCACCATTTTAGATGAAAGAGCAACCCAGAGAAGAGACGATGGACACCGTTCCGATTCCGCACGTTCTTTCGTTCAGTCTGGTTCAGTCGAGAGCCAACCAATAGGAACGACGTGTTTTCAAACGACCTCTGCACATGCTGATTGGAACATTGGAACTAATCGCGGAATTCTTACTCGGACGGTAAATTTATTTAATGCAAAAAATTAATAATAAAATAATTGAGTAATAAGATTTATTTCTTAAAATAAAAAACTCGTTTAACATCCAAAGAAATGTTAATTTAAATTATGTAGTAATTGTAGTGATTTTATCAATCTGAATAAGAAATTGCTCAATTACAAAAGGTAATTTTTTTATATTAAACATTTTTTACAAATAATATAATCTAATTATATTTACAATCATTTATACGTAATACAAGGTGAATAATTAAATCTCTATGAGTCTGTCCGCATCAGTGAGTACTTCGTGAGAGTGTTGGCTACCAGATTTCACGACGTGTTGTGCTCCAACTAAGCAATTCTTCAGTTCCGTGCCTTCCTCGATGATGCAGCCATTGCACAGTATGCAGTTGTGAATAACGCATCTGTAAAAAAAATTCATTTAGCGAATTCGTAAATGTACGCGTGTTTAACAAATATCTCCACCAACACACCTTTGCTTAACAGTTACATGTCCCATTATCACACTCTGAGATATCCTTGTCTTGGATTCCACGGTGCAGTTAGGCCCGATATGATTTTGTTTCAACGACGTTTTCTCCTCGACCAACGAATTATCGCCTACGCGACATTCTTGCATCTGCGTACTGCGTACAGTCGCGGTGCTCGAGATACTCGGCAGCAGCGGTAATTGATCGGTATTCTTGTTATCACTCCACCATTCTGATATCTGTACAGGATATTTCTTAAATTAGCTGAAATTGATCCTTTAATTTCTAATATATTGAAGTGTAAATATAATATATATTATTCAAGATAACGCGTGGCTCCGTGTGAGAGTGATCGACTCGTATTGATCCCGTATACTTTTGGAAAAATATATATTATTCCTTTGTCATAAAGCTACGTAAAGTGGATATCAACCTTAGCATTTGCAAGATGATACATTTGCACGGTGTTCGCTCTAAGACCAAACTTTTCATTTGACACATGAGCGTAACATCGTATTACATCCTCGTTATAAGCATCCTCCAGATCGGTGCTATGATCATTGAAGGCCGACATCTTTCTTATCAACTCGTCCAATGGTTTCTCCATTGCAAAATGGAAGATATCTTCCTTCAAATCCATTTGTACCACGGAAGTCTTATCATCCATACATTGTTTAGATCTGGATAATTGTTTACCGACTATATACGGCAAAAGTTCACCCTTCAGCGTGGTGAAATTTCTGAAAAACATTTTTACATTTGATTAGACTTACGTTCAGTCTCTTCAACATTTTTCCCTAGTAAGTTCACTCACTTGTTAAATATTAAAAAGTCCACCACCCATTTGTTAATAATGTACAAATGCGCGTCCATCAGTTTGGAGTGCATGGTGAAGCTAGCGTGCTTCCTGAGAAGCCTCTGCGAGATGTTAATCGTTTCTTCGAAATCAGATGCGGAAGCCAAGAAAATCAATCGTCCTGTGTTATTGTCGATGCCGATCAAGTCCGTTTCCGGTTTCTGCTTGTTTTTCAGGCCTGGCGTTACAAAGTCGTCGGGCATTTTCGGTGCGGGCAACATCAGAGCGGTTACACTCGCGTTATGTTTCCTGTATAAATTCAGGATCTCCGATATGTCCACATTTGCGATCAAATCGCAGGATATCACCAAGATATCCGTGTATATTTTTTCATGAATAAGTCTGATAGAATCGGCCGTGCCGAGATCCTCCGCTCCTGGAATCCCTACGAATTCTATCTTGATTTTCAGACCCAATTTATCCAACGACGTCGACACGTCGGACTTGGTTGCTTCGGCAACAACGACGATCGCTTCTTTGAAACCCGAACGTTCGAGGATCTGCAAGGGATACCAGATCATGGGAACGTTTGCGATCGGCAACAGACATTTGGGCTTGCCTGCCGTAAGCTCCGTCATGCGGGAGCCTTTTCCTCCAGCGAGCACGATGGCTTGGAATTCATTGTGGTGATTCATTTTTGTTCTCTGCAATTATTGATACGTAAGGCACATTGTTAAGGAGACTTTAAAGACTTTGTAATACCTACGTCAAGTGTGCGTTGTAATACGTATCATTCAAAAGGCGCCTTGTATGTTAATAATAGCGATAACTGTAGTTAAGATTACATTCAGGTTACTTTGTACCTTGTCACTTTGTAGGAAAATATGTAAAATTGCAATCAGAATAGGCGGTTGTGTAACGTGAGCACACGATTTTTAGAAGAATGCGAATCAAACCATCGATCCGGTGCAGCCATGTGCTCGCCTAACCTAAAATTAATGGTGACGATGACAAGACTGGAGCAATAAGCGAATCGACCAATCACAGGCGAAAACAAGGCTACCATTGGCCGCGTTCAGCAGACACAACTGTTGAGTTCGTCTTATCAACACTCTGCGTTGATTGGTTGGTTCTAAAAGTAAGAGCCAATCACGTTTGACTGCTACTCAGCGGCTTGGTCTCGGCTGTGATTGGTCGGTCGGTTTATCACTTGCGTTTTCTAACCTAAAAAGAAAAAACGAAAATGGCGGAGAATGCATCATAAATATCATAATGCATGTGGTTGAAGAGGAAGGGGTGGAAAACATTAAAGGTGATATATTATTTCTTCGCTTGTAAAGGAGCGATCTGTAAAGATTAATAAGCGTATGTGAGAAAAATGTATAAATTTTAGGTCCAGATATGCAAAGAATTCGAACGAAAAATTGAAAAGACCTAACCTGTAGGATAATTCAAAGTATATGATGAGTGCAGTTGCGGAAAACACGTGTGAGTCCGTGGAGGACGTGATCACGGTAGGCACGAGCGTGATAGTCAAGAAACAGGACTTCAGCAAGGTGTACAAGGTGTCCGAGAATGGTATTCTGATGCTGGGGAAAGACCAGAAGGTAGAAATGCGCGAGATCATCGGCAAGCCGTTTTGGAGCACCTTCGAGATGATTCCGTTGCCAGGCAGCAGAGGTGCTTTCACCCTGAAGCTAACGGATCAGGTAGACTCGTGGAATAATCTGAAGGGCGAGCTGAGCGGTTACGACAATCGCTCCATCACGGACGACGGGACGTCTCAGCGGCTGTCGAAGGAGGAGATTCTGCAGCTGCAGGAGGCCGGCAAGACTGGCAAGGAGATAATCGGTAGCCTCATTGAGAACAGCAAGTCCTTCGCCGCCAAAACGGAATACTCGCAGGAGAAGTATATCAAGAAGAAGGAGCGCAAGTACCTCAGGTTTCTGACGATACACAAGACGTCTGTATTGTCGCTGCACGAGATATACTTCAAGAGGAAACACGAGAAAATCGGAGGGCTGAGAATGGACGCTCTGGCGCAGATACTGTCCTACAGCGACGTCCAATCCGAAGGCTTGCACTTGTTGTACAGCAGCGGATACCAGGGATTGCCCGCAGCGGCGATGCTCAACAGAATAGGCACGAGTACCAGTGGTTACCTGATCAACCTGCATCCCGGTAATATGCCTCAAACAACGTTCATCGAAGACATGAATTTTCCACAGGAACTGAAAGACAGGCACGTAGCAGTGAATATCTATAGTTTCTTGAGATTACATTATCAAGGTGAATCTAGTATAATAGACAATATTTCCACGTCTAAAAAGACTGTCGTTAATAATACTGAAACGCATAATATCGAAAAATTAACGGAAAAATTTGACGGAGAAACTAAAAATAACCAAGTACCTGAAATGGATACGGAAGTTTTAGAGCTGAAAACTGGGACAAAAGAAAACGGTACGCTTCTCACAACTGACACTGAGGAAGGTGGCAATACTTTAAAACGGAAACTCGAATCTGAAAAGCCCGAAAGAGAAGTAGCGCCCGCAAAGAAACCGAGATGGTTGTTGGAGACGAAACACGCTGTGGATTTGTTAAGTAGCACGAAAGCTCGCGGTTTAACTATCGTAGCAAAAGAGCATCCCTTACAAATTGCGACGGCGCTGTTACCCTTCTTGGGTATCTCACGTCCGTTTGTCATCTTCCATGCGCATCGGGAGCCCTTGCAGGAGACCTACATAGAATTAAAGAAAAAAGGCAATGTAATAAATGTGAAACTGTTGACGAACTTCTTACGTTCGTATCAAGTATTGCCCGACAGAACGCACCCCGACATTTTAACGAGCGATACCGCTGGCTATATTTTAACAGGATATCTAGTTGACAATGCGTAGTATATAAAATGTTTTAATAAATTTTGATATGAGAAATTGATCGTACAGTACAGACTCGCATACTCGATACCGATCGAATGCCAAAAAGCTAACATATAACGTCAGAACAAATTTATAAACGGATTATAATTTTTTACACAAATATAACTATTACGTACATATTTGCATTTATTACTTTGGCCTCTAATTATAATTATTAATAATGATCGCTCCTTTTATAATTTCAAAATGTAAAATCATAGTATAAGGATTATTATGTGTACAATAAGAATTGTTAATATCAGTAAGTTTTTAGAAGTATTTATATAACTGTTCTTACTGCAATAATCTTTTACAATAAACGATCATGTTTTTTATGGATTTGAAATTTCGCAAAAATTTATTTTGTCTTCAGACACTAGAAATTGAGTTTTTAATTCAAAATTTTTGCAAACAAGATTTTTATTCTGTCGCATTTCGTGAATCTTTTTGTAAAAGTTCCATTTATGAAGAATAGTATCTCTATTCTTCATGGGTATCTACTATCTGCATTCTGCCTATGGCTTCTGAATTTCCACAATCTACATAAACTATGCTCATGTATTTTACGTTACGTGCACTGTGCACTTATAGATTTTCAGTACTGGAAGTGAATATCGGAACGCAGCCGTAAAGTCTTGTGTCCACGATACTAGAAATCGCTCTGAGATCTCGGACAGAGAAAAAATTGACCAATCACATTTAAACAATTCGGCAATTGACCAATGCGATTGGTTAATTCTTTCTTCGTACAAGATCTCGGAGTGATTTCTAGCATCGTGGACACAAGGCTTAATAGGCCTCCAGGAATGCGGGCGCAATCGGCATTAACGGAAACGAAACCGAAATCACTAATCATACGCAACTGCGTCAACTTATACTATATATTCATTGCTTCAATCATAAAGTTGCGAAACAATTAAACATATTATAGTTAATTTTGTGGTCTTTATTATTATTTTATTATACAACATTAAATAAAAATAGTTACAAAAAGACTTTATTTGGACGTCTTCAAGACATTTTAAAAATGACATCTTTAGATGGTCGTAAGGCGTCATTTTTTTACGTTGACGCTTGACGCTCATTTTCAGCAAACAAAAATCTTAAGAAAAAAAAAGTTATATTTATTCAACATCCAACGTTGACGCTGAATCATCGTTGATTGTCAATTGTTGTAATCGTTGCTGCAATTGTAGCTGCTTTATCTTGTGCTTGATGTTGGAACAGAATGGAACGAGACACTTGGTCTTTTGGCAGTGTTTGGCAGTATGATAATAACACAGCGCAATCAGCTGTTTGGATATAAGACACCTGCCATTGGTCTTTCTCCTGCAATTCTTTGTATGCATCATCACTCGCTTCATCTTCTGGCAACTCGGTAGACGACACTGACGACAGTTATTAGCATCTCTGCACTGGCAGGCATGCACCAATGATTGAATCCACCTCTGTATCCTTAATTCCCTGGGCTCCTACAGGTTGCAGAAACAAAAAAAGATACGAGCACATTATAGGTTTATCGTAATTACAATACATAGATATTTTTAGAATAAGCCGACAAGTTACCTGTGGATTGGTTTGTTCCGCATCCGCAGGCGAAGAGCCATTATCCAAAGCAAAGCCAAGTTTTTCCATCGGGTGCGGATGACTGTCCTTATCTTTACAATTTACACATAAATCGAAATCCTGTAATAAAATCGCAATTATAGTAAGCATGAAAGTCATGAAAAGTGGCGAAAGTATTTTTCTCCAAAGCAATCTAATACATATGTCACAAACTGTACAATGGTATCGGGTTTCCACGTGACTTTTATTACAGTTATTGCAAATATAAATAAGCATGTTAAAGGAAAAACAAGGTGTGCTTCTCTTCTTCCGTTTTTTGGCTCCTGAATTTGAAACAATTTACAAAAATATTTAAAAAAATTTTTTTCTAATTTTTAATAAAAATTTTGTTTAAAAAATTATTTTTTAAAAATATTATTTGTTGAATAGAAGAGTTTTTAATATAAAACATATATTTTGATGACGAATACTTTTTTCGGGCATGCGAGGTTCCCTTGTTAGTTAAAAATAAATTAACTTACCCAACCGTTTCAACCCTGTCTTTTTGTGATCTGAGATCGGAGTATCGGAGCAGCTTGTGGAATTCGTCATGGGTAGCGACTGTTGCGCGTTTCTAGCAGCCCCGAACAGAACCTTCCAAGTCGTGTATCGATGCGATTCAAAGATCGGGCGCGTATGCGAGTTGTAAAATAAATTTTTTAATAATCCTTTAATAAAACTTAATTGATTATGTTTGAGGTGGTTTAAGAGCGTATGTTGAAGGGGAGAATGTACTGAAGGCAAAGCACCCAAACAAATCCGAGCTTTTTAAGCACAAGGACATTATTTTTATTTCCTCTACTTTTTTGAAAATTATTCCAATATACATAAGGTGGTTTGCCTTCAGTCTTCAGTACATTCTCCCCTTCAACATACGCTCTCAAACCACCTCCAACATAATCAATTAAGTTTTAATCGGGGAGCACACACTTCTTCACAACGCATAATGCATAAGCATAAGAGAACTGATTGGTCTATTTCCTTATGCATATGTGTATGGACCAATCAATTTTCTTGCTTACGCATTATGCGTTGTGCAGAAGTGTGTGCTCCCCGCTTAAATAAAGGAGTTATTAAAAAAGTTATTTTACAACTCGCATACGCGCCCGATCTTTGAATCGCATCGATACCCAATATACAACACGACTTGGAAGGTTCTGTTCGGGGCCGCTAGGGACGCGCAACAGTCGCTACCCATGACTCATGACGAATATGCTCACGGCCACGTGTTTGTGCTTCTCACCATGCCCTCTGACCCCTCCCCTTCACCAGTACCATTAGGGCTGCGTTCGGAAACGTCACCCGGGTATACACGGATTTACACGGGTATACTCCCTTCTCCTTCTAATTCGCTGAGATAGAAAGAGAAGGAAGTATACTCGTGTGCACTCGGGTGACGTTTTCGAACGCAGCCCAGCGTACATACCACGCGAACCTCCCGCGGCTCCCGCTCATGTTGTAATCATGCTCCCGCCATGCGGACCATGCAGTTAAAGCGGGGAGCACCCGGAGCACACACTTCTGCATAACGCATAAAACGTTCGTGTTCGTTGCAGAAACGTGATAACGTTTATTAACTGAAACGCAAATGTGGTGCCTGTTCAGAGAAATTAAACACCTCAACCTTGGAATCTGAAAACGTCGGTAAAGCTGATCCAATCGTCGAAGAAATTATCCGATCGACATGGAAGCGGTCGAGGAGAGCGAGCCCAACGTTCTTCGCGAGATCGCGAGTGAGGAGGAGCTGGCGCAAATCCCGAGAGAATCAACGAGGAAAATCAATGCGCATTTTAATGCAAAGTTCGAGGAGTTTATAACCGCCAAGGCGGTTTTCGAGACCAGCCGAAAATGTTTGGGTAAGCTGGACGCGCCGTTTTGAATTTTTAACAGCTTCGAATAAATATTCCAGGGACGCTCGTTTTATTTACATACTTCTGAAATGCCGGCGCTTTTTATGTATGTACCTTTCTCGAATTTAGGTTTCTTCTAACAATACTTTCATTATTTACTCGAGACTCAATGTAAACTTCTTTATAGTCTCAAACATCGAAAGCCATAATTCATGTCCAAAATTTATCTCAAAATAAAGAATTTTGCATAAATGGAAGGCCGAGAACTTTATGTTGACTTACAGAGCAAAATTTAGAGACGGCGCAGAAGGAACTTGCAGAGCTGCAGAAGTTGGATCTTGACGAGCGTAGAGGGAAGTTGGAGCTAGCGGAAAAGAGCAATACAGAAGTATGTAGCAATCTTGAGGAAGTGAAAATTGAAGTGCACGGATTACAGGAATCTGTCAAACGGTAATGTCACGTTCTTACAATTTCTAATATCGATATATAAAAAAGAAATTTATAATATTTTGATAACTAATAATATAATTACTGTATAAAATAGCAAGAGACTAATGTTTATTCTTAATGAAGTGTTATCAACATTTAATATCTTGTACGTGGATTTGATTTAATGTGGATTACAGGTTGGAGAAGGAAAATTGTGAATTACGTAGTCAGAGAGACACAGTTACGGATGAGGCTAATGCATTACAACTGCAAGTTGAAAGGCGGGATACCGAAATTGAAAGAATGCTTACCGAATTGTCCTCTTTAAGCTCTCAGCTTCAAACTGCCATTGCGACCAAGTGCCAAACTCTTGTACAGAAATACTCGCCTCGTAAACTATTAAAAAGTCATTCCAATTGTGTAAACAGTATGGAACTCTCTTCGGATGAATCCAAGGAGCTATCACGTTGCAGTTTATCTGCGCTTCCTGTAAAGTATTCTAAGAAATCTATTTCTCATCACAATATTGCAATGACATTTCGTACTTTGAGTATTAAAGTATTTATTTTGTATTACATTAATTATATTCTATCTTTACAGAATGAAATATTACTAAAAATACTTAAATACTTAGATTTGGAAACGTTATGCCGCATGAGTCAGGTAGATAAACGCTTCAAAGATCTAACACAGGACCCTGAACTCTATACACATTTGGACATGACAAATAAATCTGAGAAATATATGTGCCACGTATTTTCTTATTTTACACCTAGATGTAAATATTTGCAACAATTAGATCTTACAGGAAGCAAGTTTGATATTGATGATTTTGTAAACTTTCTTAATAATTGCGGCAGTTGTGTAACGCATTTAAGATTAAGTAAATGCATATTAATTAAATGCTACACGGATTTTAATCCTGCGCTAAAGGAAATTGGAAAAACATGCAAAAATTTGAAAGGTATATGCATATAGTATATGTATATATGTAATTGTCAAGATTATGGGTAAATTGCATAACAACTAATGCAAATTTTTCTTAGAATTGGATCTAAGTGATTGTCGGTGTGATTGCTACAGAAATTTTTCGTATTTTGAGGAGCTAAATAATTTGGAATCTATAAATTTTTGGGGTCTGCCAAATTCCATGGAACATATTTGTAAAGTACTGCAAAATAATCCGCGTATTCGTGAGATCAGAGCCCGGATCTGGGACGATAAAATTCTGGTAGAGTTGGCAAAGTGTCGCGA